CGGAGGCTTCTGGGTGGCGGCTGCTTCGGCTCCGCCCCGGTTACCCGCCGCCTACAAAGCTCTACGAGCCCGATCTGCCCCCGGACTGTGGGAGTGAGGAAAGGAGCGGGGGTCGGTCCTGCTGGTGTGTGGATGGGAGGGGCATGTTCTCCCAAAATCCGCACGAGGTGCTACCCTGAAGGAGCGGCAGTGGAGGCGGAGAGAAGGCCGCGCCCTTCCAGACAGGGGGAGGGGAGCGCCGCACTACCTTTATGGGAGTTCTCTGTTGTCTCCGGTTTAAGGACCGCCCTGGGCCTGGAAGAATCCCTCCCTCCCCCGCGATCTCGTCATCGCCTCCATGTCGAGTCTCCTAGAATCTAGATTATGGGCGGGATTCTTTTGCCCAGGTTTAACCTGGTGCCGGGGCGTTGTTCTGCAGGGGTTTGAGCAGGTGTCAGATTTTGAGGGTGAGCCCAATTTCTGTCTTCCCCCAGACTTGAATTTGTGTCACAAAGTAATTATGGAAGGCGTGGCGGAGGGAAATGGAGTCCAGGCATTCACCTGGGACTGATTTTACAGCAAGACTGCGTGTTATTACTACTTAAAATCCTTTTTGTAGCTTTTTCCTGGGGATAAAGTGAGAGACCAAAGGCAGACTGAGTTTTATACTCACCCCATTAGAAACCCTAACTAAACCTTAAAATTTTATCTTAGAATTTTAGGCCCCCTTCCTTGCATCCCCAGGATCAGGCACCTTAGCAACTCTCACTCATATTTAGAGCCCATTTTCTGTTTGTTGTACTTGCTCATCCAGTCTCCAGACATACCATTGGCTTTCTCCTCTCCTGTTTTGGTATGGGTGAGTCATGAAACCAGACAGATTGGTTCCAACACCAATTAAGGCCACCCAACCTGAGCAGAGGCCTCACTCTTAACCCAGTATTATCTTTTTCCTCAGCTGGGATTCTCCCCCTACCCTCTCAGTACAGGTGACCTTGACTACTGCTTTACTGAGAGTTAGACATGAGGTTCAGCAACATATCCTTTTTATCTCCTTTGAATAACTTTTCAGTCCATCCCATGATTTCTGTTCTCATCGGTTAGTTACTGAGTTCATTTGCCATAAGCCTCTGTTACCTCTTCTGATCCATCTTACATGTTGCCAGGACAATTGTTCTAACATAGCTAGAGCCTCCAAATGACTGATGCAACTCCTTCACTGGCTCCTAACTACTTACAGGATGAATTCCATCATCACTGATCTACCAGGTCCCTCAATGGGCTAATTTCTGTTCTTAACAGCTTTTTCACTTGCTGCAATTTTTCACATCACGCCAACACTACCTCTCTGTTCAAGTCACACTGAATTGATTACTGTTTACCCAAATCATAGTTACATAGTCATACCATTTTGTAGGGTCCTGTCTGCCTGAATGCTAACTTTGATGGTCTTTACCCTTCAAGACTTAAGACTCAGGTATCATCATCTCCCCTGTGATCTTGCCTTCTCTGATCTATCGTTCTAATAGCCAGACTCCCTATAAAAAAAATAGCAGTGCTTTCTCCTGATCCCATAACAAGCATGTTGAATCATAGCACTTCTCAGGTTGTTGTCATTGCTTGTTTGAATTCTCTTAACTATTCTAAGCACAGGCTCTTGTTGAGTCTTGTAGTAACACTAAGCTTCTAGTATATTCCTTAATGTGTAGCCAATCCTAAATAAAATAGAATGACATGTAGATGTCTTTGTACAGTTTGATAGATTATTGTGGTCTCTTAAACAGTTCTTTGTGTGCTTGCTAGTGTTCTAGATTAACACTATCCAATAGAACCTTCTGCAATTATGGAAATGTTCTCTATCTGTGCTGACCAATGTGGTAACCACTAACCATATATTAATACTGAGCACTGAAAATGTGGCTAATGTGACTAAAGAACTGAATTTTTAATTTTATGTAATTTAAATTGTATGGGCAGTGTAGTTATAGCCACAAACTTGTGGATTGCAAGATACTTAATATGGATGTTGCTAACTTTCTCTTCATGCTGAGCAGTAAGGAAATAAAGTTGGACTTCTGTGGCTCATTTAGGAGTTTTCCCCCCGGCTTGTTTTATTTTACCTGTTTCTGTACTTCAGCTGAACCTAGCTGTGAGCTAAATCCAACAAGCCCTTACTAAAAATAAGTCTTCCTTGGACAACAGTGTGTTGAGAAAACAAGTAGTGACTAGTTTGTATTTCAAAAGAGAATGCATAATGAATTTTAGGAAAGTGGGATTTCATGAAACCATAATGGTAATAAGACTATATGTGATGTTAATGAAAACCAGCCTTAAAGTTCAGTCCCCCAAGTTTTCATTTTTGGAAAAACTTCCATCAGATGAGGCCCTAAGTATCATATTTTAAGTTACAGGGAACATCACAAAGTTAAGTTTCATCTTGATGAAGTATAAGTTAATAGATATATTTTAACACTAAAATGCTTTCTGAGTTATGTACTAATACAGCACCTTACAGATTTCAATTATATTTTTAAAAGTTGTTTATTTAAAACTTTTTCCATAGAATATGAGACCCTTAGGATAAGGGTCTTCAAACTTTCAATACACAGAATTGACTTGATTTGTAATGCAGATCTTCAGTCCCAAACTCAGAGTTTTCAAATTCATTTGAGACAGAGGGGAGGTAGGCACCAGGATTACATTCTCTTTTTTTTTTTTTAAGTTTCTTATTTGCTTCTGATGTTGGCAGCTCCTACACCACACTGTGAAAACAGCCTGGGGCTATGGTATGCCTATTTATCTGACAAAAATGACTACAACTTGAGAAACACCTCTCTGATCCAATATGTCTCTAATTTTTTCCTCAACTGTTTTTTGGAGAATTTTTCCCTTCCAAAAAACTGAACGGGAAAACATTTTGAAAAGCAGGAAGGTAGTGATAGTTAATAGTTTTGGAAACTTTCAGGTCATATTTTTTTCTTTTCTTTTCTTTTATTTTTTTTTATATATATATTTTTTCTTTTAAACAGGATGTTAAATTATTTCAAATACTGTTTTTTGCACATGAAAGTTACATTTTTTTGTTTAACCACTAAATGCATTCAAGGATACAGATCTATTGATTCCCAGTACCTGTACTCAATAAATGTTGGTTTTATTGATTTATTTGTGAAATTATTTTCCAATAATAGTTGAAGTCCACAGAACACACAAACAAGGCTCTTTTATGGAGAAGCTTTAGGTCATACTTAACCTAAGTCTGTTAATATTCTCTTCATAAAGGAAACTGATGCCTCATGGTCTCTGAATACAATCTATTCATCTGTTCACTGTTCACCCTTCCTTAGGTTTCCTGTTTGAACCACTGTCCTTATCCTCTTCCTGTGTTTCACTTCCTTAGGCTTTATAATTTTTTAATAAACCAGCAACCTCTCTCCTTTTGAAGTAGAACCATACTATTTTTTCTAGGACAAAAACTAAGTGCACTTAAACTTGCATGGGAGAATTGAAGAGTTTGTACAGGCTTTTAATATTTTTTAAATTTGCAAAATTTGAACTGTATAATGTTGCTCCCATATATTTTTTATGCATGGAGGAGGTTTGGTACAGTTATGGTTTGCAGCTGTTATTTCAGAATATGATAGGGATCAGCATCACAAGGTTAAGACTGGTTTGACTGTTTTATGCCAGTCTTAGTTGTAGGGCACTTCGTTAGGTTACATCCAGGAGTCTGGCACTGTACTTTGCAGGTTGGAAATTCTTGGCTTTGTTACATTATGTTGGATTTTGTTACATCCTGTTTTATATTGGAGGACATACTTCTACAGAACCTTTATTTTATTTTTTCTTATTTAAGACTCCCCATTCTTGATGGGGTGAGAAACTGAATTGTTACAGAACTGTGTTAGCATTGAATCAAATATTTACGTTTATTTTATTTAGGCCAGGGTTAAATCTGATGAATTATTCCTGGTTTGATGTATACCTTCATAGTGACTAGATAGACTATTTCTGCCTCTTAGATTATATCTCAAAGTCATGGTTACCTAAAATAATCCAACTTTACAGCTTTTTCCCTAGAATTTACAAACATCACTGACCTTTAGTTTGTCCTGGTACTTAGTCACCTTTGTTTGCTAATTGTTTTCTAACATGTTTAAGATCGAATCTTCCTACTAACAACAGTAATACATTTTCAGATCATGTTTTATAGAATTGGTTATTTTACCAGCTAACTAAACCACCCTAATAATATATGAACTCTTGTCAACTCAAGTCAACATTCCTTACAGCCTTTCCTCTTTTTACTGACCTTGGCTTAAAAATCTCATCCCGCACTTTTTATTATAATAAATAATGGCAGCATATTCTAGTGCACACTATAGGCAAAAGCTAATGAAAACATAGTTTAGGTGAAGAAGTTAATATTTATTGAGTACCAATTGTGGCCTCTTTGTCGTTATGGTGTGGTGCTGATATATAAACCGGAGTTGGAGTAGGAAACTAAAGGTTAAACAACTTTGCTTTAGACACACCAACAAATTAAGGACCAGGAATTCTGGTTTGAATTGCATAAGTCAGTATTCTTTCTCTGATGATAGCAGTCTTAAGAAATTTAATCTGTTGCTAGATACAGGATGGATTATAAGAAGGGAGAAATTTGAAGGCAGAGATACTACTTAGGAGTTTCTTTCACAGTAGTACAGACACCAAATAATGAGGTCTGGTATAGTGATGGCAATCAAAATGGGAAATAAGTTGACTCAGTAACTGACCAAATGTCAGTCACTGAGAGGGAGGACAGTCTCAATACATCACTTCTTCAGGGAACCTTGATGTCTTCAGTTATGCTACTTTGGATCCCCAACTTGAATGTCATAGCAGCTCTTACAAGTGTAATTAGTAGTTGAGAGAGTGGTGGGTTTTTGTTTTACTTTTTTACGGCTATTTTCCTAGTTGCCTAAGCATGGGGAGGTCTTCTAGGTCAAACAATATTCATAATACTGAGCTGTTATTTACTTCTCGCTACATGATGTGTGATGTAAGAGATCATTACTGATGTTAATTGAACAGAGGATATTCTTAAATTTTCTAGAATTTCCTAATGTGGTAGTGTTAGGGTATGAATATTTGTTTTTAGGAATTAACTTACTTTTTAGGTTATATTTTCTATAATCCCAGCAACCCTCAGTATTACGTAATTATTAATATAAAATCCTGTCATTTTCTTTGTGCCTAAGTATAAACATAAGTACATCCCGTTGTCTTGTTATGCAATAGTGCTGTAAATATTTGCTCAAAACTTCTAAAATTTTAAATTTAACTACAATTTATTTTAGAATTTAGCAACACAAAATAAACCAATTTATATTGTTCTTATTTAAGAATGGGTCATTGACTTAAAAAAAAGATTAGAAGATTGCTTGTTCAACCCACACCTTATGTCTAAAAATGCTTAAAAAAAGGTGAATTTAAGATATTGCAGAGTTCTTACAGGAAGAATCAAGTTCAAAGAAACTATAAGGAAAAGCTACTGAAATAAGTTACTGTAGGACATTGGCTGGAGAAACACAATAGCTGAGAAACAAAAAGCCATATACATTTGACACTAGTGGATGATAATGATAAGTAAAAAATGGTAGCTCTACTTTTTAACAATAGAGTAACTTATATAGGAAAGATTTGTGTGCAGACATGAAATCTGTGTTATCTTTGTAGAAGTGTACTTAAGCCTTACAAATGGATGAATCTACAAACATGACTGGGCTTGTTATTTTGCTTGTACAGGGTGGGGCGAAAGTAGGTTGGTAGTTCATATGGAAAATAATACAAGAATAAACTTTGTGTACTCACAACTGTAAACCTATTTTTGCCCCACCCTCTATTTGTCCAGCATCAGCATCAACTAGTCAGAGACTTTTAAGTGAAAGCTTGGCAACAAACAAAATATGTCCTGAAATAGTTAAAATGTTGAATAAAGTCTCATGGTTTATCAGGATATTTTCATATGGTGAAAAGGCAAAGGTGGGTGAAGCTGTCAGCATCTTGGCATAAATCAAGGCAGTCACAACCAGACTGTAGTTGTTCTTCCCTGCCATGCATTTGCAGAATACACCCAGGGGTAAGAATGTAGCAGTTTCACTTCATGTCATTATGAAAACAGTAAATTTTATTATATCTGGACCCTGAGTACATAACATTAATGTGAGTGATGAAATGGGAAAATTGCATACAGTACTTCTGCTACATACTAAAGGACAGTGGTTTCAAGAAAAAGCACTTCTGTGGTTTGGAAAGAATAACTATCATTTTGGTTGTCAGAGTTGGCTATTTTGCAGACATTTTGGAATATAAAGGAAGTGAGACTTTAAAGGAAAACAATTGACTGCTGTTTTCAATGATAAAATTCAAATTTAAAGTGAAATTTAGAATTTTGGGAAAATTTGTATCCACTACCAGGGAGCTTGACATCTTTCTAGTACATAATTGTTTTTTTTGTGAGATACAGTGATAGTAATATGATTTTTTAGATATTATATAATGAACTGGGTCAACATTTAGGAGATTTATATTAAGTGAACTAATATTTTCCAAATGACCAATACATGAAATTACCAAAAAAATGCAAATAAGTAACATATCTCAACCAATTGAATGTGGAAAGAAAAAAATTAAGGCAGACATTTGAGAGAACTGATTTGCAAAAAATGTAAAATAAATCCACTCTGAAAATAGTTACTTCCATGAAAATGCTAATGTAATAATATATTTGTTACTGTCTTAATTTTTTTTAAATTTATAATATGGAAAAATAATGGTAATCAAAGCTATTTGGGCCCCTCAGTTTTTAAAAAGGGGTCCTGAGGCCAAAAAGTTTGAAAAACAACTGCTCTAGCACAATGTACTAGTTAACCCTCAAATGCCTATTGAATAACTAGATGGAGTTAAGAAAAAAAAAAAAATGACTCCCAGTGTTAAGGCTGGATGACTGGGAGAACAAGTATGCTAGGACCCAAAGCAGATTTTAGTGGAGAAAGGTATGTTCATGTTGAGTTTTAGATGGAATACATAAGGATAACTATAACAGGCAGTTGGAAATTTAGAATTTGATCTTGAGAAAAGCTAAAATACCATTTTCCTTTCCAGTGAAAGTTGCTTTTATCATGAATATATATAATCAAATAGCTACAACTTCACAACTGATTAGCAAATATGTTAGCTTTGGTGCAAAATATAAGGGTGACAGTGTAGGTCTCTTTAAACAGTGATACTTTTTTTTTCACATTGTGCACTTTTAAAATTTGGTATAGGTGACCTGTTTCTTTTTTTTAAAATGTTTTAATTGACTTCAGGGAGAGATAGAAACATCAATGAGAGAAAATCATCTATCGGTTGCCTCCTGCATGCCCCCTACTGGGGACCTAGCCCACAACCCAGGCATGTGCCCTGACTTGGGAATTGAACTTCGACCTCCTTGTTCATGGGTCGAAGATACTCAACCACTGAGTCACACTGGCTGGGCTGATTCTTTTTTTTTTTTTTTTTTTAATGTACCAAGGTACAATAATTAAATGTGATTTTTTTTTTCCTCATGGAATTTTCAAACTTTTACTATATCGCCAATGAAATTTCCACATCTCACCTGAAATTTTTAGAAAAGGCTATGCTGAGAATTAAGAATGTATTACTTTTTCTATGCCTATTTATTGTTATATTTTACTTTAGGAACTCTACAGGCTTTTTAAAATACCTCCTTTTTTCATTCTTCAACTTATTGTTTGGTTCTTGCAGTGAAGACCTGAGCTATATCTCACACTGAATATACCAGAATCTAGTTTTGGCAGTTTCCGGAAAGTTACCATTTTAAAAGAAGTGTTTAACAAATGTTTCCTTTTTTCACCACTGTCAGTCTCTGGGAGATCACTATCTTCCTTTCATTTAATTAAAAAAAAAAAATCTGTCTCAGTGTTTATGTTGCTATTTTTCCCTCTAAAATATGCTGACTCTCCCAGTAACAAATGTCTAGAATCTAGATTATAACTCGCTCATTTTGTGTTCAGATTAAGATTACCATCCCATCTTTTCACATTTCCATGGTGTTAGGAGGCCCACTTCAAGGTTAAAAACCAAAGTCACAGAATGAGTTAGGTGACAGTGTCATATATAACTCAATCCCAGATCTTTTGAATCCTGATAGCCCACTTCCTATTCCTGCCATCAGATTATAAAACATAATACTAGGGTGGAAAGACTTCAAACTATTGCAGACAATGCTCTACATATTTGCATAATCTTGAATCAATTTGGTCATGTTTTTATGGTGGTACTTAAGACTACAGCTATGAAGGAACAGGCTCAAATTTGATATAAAAACTAAGCCAATGTGCAAAAATATTCATTTGTTCATCAAATATTAAATGTCCACTCTGGAAGTTACTGTACCAAGCATTTGGTAAACAGTGGTGTACATGGATGTGATCCTTATACTTTCCAGTTCTGTGGGCTATACTGACCCAGAAAGGTTTAAATGGTTTCTTTTATCAGAGGTGAACAGTTTTATGTTGATCCCATAATGCAACTACATTATGATGATGGCACTCATTCTCAAGTGTGAGGTAGTATATCAGAGAAAACCAGACTAGGAATGTTGGCTGTTCTACTAATTTGAACTCTGTTCTTTCAAGTACTGTCCTTTTATTCTAAATGTAAGACATCAAAAGTATTATTAGTACTATTATATTACTAATATGACATTGGAAATCTAACTACAAAATAAACTCTGAATACTATAAAGAATTCCACATAAAGTCTCAAGTACTCTGACCCAGGGAAGCACTGTTTCCACAAGGACTTAATAGTGTCGAGGTAATTTCATTTTCTACTCTTTCTGCAGCTGGAAAAGCATCTAAATATGAATAGTGACCCAAGAGAAAACAACAAGGAACTCAGGTGAAGTTTTTAATTCAAAGATAAATCAGTCCTTTTAAGAAACCAAAAATATTTTGACAGGTTTATGTTTGATTTTCAAAAGCAATACCACTTTTGTGTACTGAAAAATAAAATCTTTAAATTGGACTTGTTGGTCCCATTCTTCATCTAGTAATTAATGTATTTGCTACTATTTACAAATAAAAATGTATCTTTTTAATTCCTTTGCTAAATCCTAGTCCTCTTTGTATTAACCTGAATAACATGCATACTTTAATTTTTAAGGCAGATGGTAAACTTTTCAATAGGTCTTGTTAGATTTCATCTCATCATGGGGCAAACACTTTCACAAAATGTAATAATTCCTTTTTTAAGGTTGATGTAAAGTGAACTTGAGCAACTAAATAGCAAAAGTACATAGGCAGTATCTATGTTGCCTAAGATGCTATGATTATGTTCTCTGCTTTTCCATTTGGCCAGGGTGGCTACAGTGACAACAGGAACTGGTACAAAGCCTGAAAATAAAATGTAAACCCAAATCTCAAGTGCATTTTAGGAAAAGTACCAATTGCCCAGCTACCTCTTCACAGCAGCTGCAAAGGAAGAAATGTTCTTCTCTCATAAGACTTTCAATTCCATGACGTTACATTCACACCTGCTAACCTGGGTGAAGAGCTTTAGACCAACTTAAACAGCAAACTACTTTTGTTAATACTAAATACTATTTTTCTCTTAAAGCAAGAAAATTCTGGCATTTCCAGTGTCAGGAAGCACAAATACTATTAATCATTCTTTGCACTTAGAAGTTCCTCTTTATCTTGTCCTGAAGGATGAACAAAAGTTTGAGGTGTACGGTTCAGAAGGTAAACTGCAGCATGAAGACCACCTATGTTCACCCAGACAGTGTGCACTTTCCGCCATACATGTTCCATTCCAGATAATGCCTGTGTACACACAAAAAGCATAAAAGTAATTAGCTTCAATGACTTGCCTGCTTCTAAACCAGGGTTGGGGAACCTTTTTTTTTTTTTTTGCCAAGGGCATTTGGGTATTTCTATCATTTGCAGTCCATACAAAATTATCAACTTTAAAATTAGCCTGCTATATTTGGCCAAACATTTAACTCACCACCAAATGATTTTGTGGGCCTGTTCTAGACCAACCAGGAGTTTTAGGTGCCAATAAGAAACATTAGGGAAAGGGAACACAAATCCTGCTCAAACTAATATCCCCGGGTCTTCAGGCTGAGTTGAGTTATTACACTGTACCTTTGTAAAGCATTTCTTGTCCTGAGTAAGTAGTGCAGCTCGGCCTGTCCCTGGTTTACAGATACGGCTCATCTCCCATAGGCAAGCTGGTTAAACGTTCCAGTTTCTTTTCTTGGAGCCCATCCTATAACAGAAGGTCTAGTGAGTCAAACATGCAAAAAATATCTAAGACTGAGAAGTTATTAAAAACTCATTGCAGCCCTATCTTGTTTGGCTCAGTGGGTAGAGCATCAGCCTGCAGACTGAAGAGTACTGGGTTCAATTCCAGTCAGAGGCACATACTGGTTGCGGATTGATCTCCCATGGATCTGAAGAAAGTAAGTGCGAAGGACATTGCTGAGAAGAAGCGGATGATGTACATTGAATTAAAGAAAGAAATTATCAAAAAACATGACCACGGTGTGCGTGTAATCGACTTGGCTAGGCAGTACAACCGTAGCACTTCTACGATCTGCACCATACTGAAGCAGAAGGAGTTGATACAGGCTACAACTCCAGCCATGGGCGTTAAAATAATTTCTAAACAGCGGACATCTATAAATGAAAATATGGAGAAGCTGCTAATGGTGTGGTTAACGGAGAAGCAGCTCGCAGGAGATACTGTGACAAAGGCTATAATCTGCGAGAAGGCACGAGCTATTTATGCTGATTTGCTGCAGCAGACCCCAGGCACTTCAATGGACGAGGCATCCGGCATTCACTCCATTGTCAGACATGGTGAGGCAGCGAGCGCGGATATAAAGGCAGGTGAGGATTACCTCAAAACGTTTGCTGAAATTATAGCAGCAGAAGGATACATCCCGCAGCAAGTCTTCAACTGTGATGAGACAGGACTCTTCTGGAAGAAGATGCCAAGGAGAACTTATATAACAGCAGAAGAGAAGAGGATGCCAGGCCACAAACCCATGAAGGATAGGCTAACCCTCGCACTGTGTGCCAATGCAAGCGGCGACTGCAAGATTAAGCCGCTGCTCGTTTATCATTCGGAAAACCCCAGAGCCTTTAAGTCACATAAGATTCTGAAAGAAAAACTGCAGGTTATGTGGAGGGCAAACCTGAGGGCGTGGGTCACCAGGCAGATCTTTGTGGAGTGGGTGAATTTGGTCTTTGGTCCTGACGTTAAGAAATATCTCCAGGAAAATAACCTACCCCTGCAAGCTCTTCTTGTCCTGGACAATACACCTGCTCACGCGCCTAACCTTGAAGATGACATCCTCGAAGAGTTCAACTTTATAAAGGTTCTCTACCTTCCACCTAACACCGCCCCTATCCTGCAGCCAATGGACCAGCAGGTGATTTCTAATTTCAAGAAGCTCTTCACCAAGCACCTGTTCCGCCACTGCTTTGAGGTGACAGAGAGCACAAACCTCACCCTTCGAGAGTTCTGGAAGGACCACTATAACATCGTGATGTGCCTCAGAATTATCGACATGGCCTGGCAGGATGTTACAAAGAGGACCTTGACTTCTGCGTGGAAGAAGCTGTGGCCTGAGGTAGTGTCTGAAACGGATTTTGAAAGACTCGAACCCGAAGCGGCAGTGGTGGAGGAGATTGTATCCCTCGGCAAGTCCATGGGCCTGGACATGGATGAAGGTGACATCAACGAGCTCATCGAGGAGCACTCCGAGGAACTGACAAC